ATATTGGATCGGATTTCCTACACTTTTCAACTGACTTCAACAAAACTTCACAGGACTACATAAAATTACCTTGCGGTGGTTCTGACAGCACCAAAAATTGGAAAAACACAAGTGTTTTTGCATGAAATCAATTTGTGAACAAGATTAAGAGGCATTGCTATTGCAAGAATGAAAGGGGGACAACTCATATTGAGTTATACTTATTATAAAACCCAGGTTGTTTGTGTGTGTGTGTGCGTGTATTCATTTATATATGGGACCGGATTTCCTACATTTTTCAACCGATTTCAACAAAACTTCACTTTTTTTGGGCAGGTAGTGTTTCTTATTGTCTTGCACACTTTTTTCTTTATTTTTACATTCAGAATGCTTTAAAAATTCCATTTACAAGACAATTGTTTATAATAAAATTCTATTCAATCGGTAGACTCATAACGATTGAAAACAATGTTTTTGTTTGAGTTTGGGTTTGACCAATTTGTAAAAAAAAAAAAACTAATTAAAACATGCGTGTCCATCAACCTTAAACAATAATCTTTGTCAATTTTATTTTTCAGTCTTTATGATGGTCGATACTTGATCTATCTCTTACTGTTACATCCCCGGGCAACGCCGGGCTCTACTGCTAGTATTAGGATATAAACAAAAAAAATAAAGAGTGTAGATAGCAGAGAAGATAAAAGGTGAGAAAAAAACTTTAAAAAAAAGGTTTAAGAAAAGAGGAACACCGTTTAACCCGTTATCTATTAAAGTGGGGTAATAAGTATTTAACCTAAAATATTTAATGGGCAAGTGAAGTTGGTTAAAATGGTCTATCCATAATCAAAATACTTTAGGAGAGAGCTTTTTTATGGATGCAACCTATCATGAGCTCATTATATTTGTTCACCATGTTTGGGTCATTAATATTTTTGAGAATGAATCTTTTTTCCAGCAAAGAGCTTTATAACCATAAATACATTAGCAAAGAATCCAACCACCCACTTGTACAAATCGGTGCAATACAGACTCTCAACTAACTCTAGCAACAAAATTATTTTTGACAAATATAAAACTAAATATGTAGATGCACTCGAAAAAAGTAAACACAAAGTTAAACTAGGATACATAAACATTAGTAAGAATGCAAGCAATAAACATAAGAATAGAAAATGCAACATAATTTAGTTTAACCCACCATTTAACAAAAATGTCAAAACCAATATAGATGAAATTTTCTTTGATTTAATCCACCAACATTTCAGCCATATACTATTGCATTATATATATATATATATATATATATATATATATATATATATGTGTGTGTGTGTGTGTGTGTGTGTGTGTGTGTGTGTGAGAGAGAGAGAGAAAGAGGGACAAAAACAGTAAGGATATGATTCTTAAGTCACCATTGTCTATGTTCTATCTTTGATATTGAGCAATCTTCACTCATAAATATAATAAATTTTAAATATATATATATATATATATATATATATATTGTGTATTCGGGCAGCAGTCCTTCTTTTATACATGTTTCATTAAAGATGACTGATAAGGTAATACAATTAAGCTCTTAATTTAATTTTTCTTGTGCTTGTATAAGTGTTTTCTTTTCTGAACACAAAGTGTGCAAAAACTGTCCAAAGTTCTGCATATCCAAGCAATTTCATCTATTCTTTTAGCCATTATCAAGGATGATTTTTATTTTTTTATTTTTAACTGAATGTGTGTGTGGGTTTTTTTTTTTTTTTTTTTTGTATGTGTTTGAAATTGTAGTAATGTTTTATTTTCTAAACAGTGTGCTGACCATGATTGGAAAATAAAACATTCCTACAACTAATAGTGATTTTTGAAAATATTGGGGCTTGACCTACTTCTCAAAATCTGACCAAATTACCAAACATCTGGATATTTTTAGAACCCCTTCTTTTATTGATCTCTTTCCTTAATAGTGTTTGTTTTTAATTTCTGAAAATCTTTTGTTCTGACCCACTTCCCAAAATCTAGCCAAATCAGCAAACATCTGATTTTTAAAATCCCTTCTTTTATTGTTCTCTCTTCTTGATAATGTTTATTTGAAAATTTCTGAAAATTTTTCGACCTGTCCCACTTCCCAAAATTTGACTAAATCACCAAACATTTGAATAGTTTTAGAATTGCTTCTTTGTCAGACTGAAAACAGTTAAAAGATTTTTTTCCAATAATAGTTTCCAATATTTCTGACACACACCAAATAAATTGCTTGACAAAATATACAAGTTCTAAATAATATAGTAAAGTTATATAGTATTTATTAAAAAGACATGAATTGATTGATGATTTCAATCATTGAAAAACCTAACACTAAGGTCCATTGGTCATTGAAGGGTTAAAACTAATTAAATCATGACATGGTTGTACTTTCAAAGAAATAACAGAAGCATTTCTTTTGTACAGTCAAGACATTTTTTTTTTCACATATTTTTTCTTTTTTTGTAAAGATAAAATATTTCAGTGAGCAGATATTTTTATCCCATAACACTAGGTCAGCAGACAGAACTCTCAGGGTCAGCTACGTGTAATCAAAAATAAAGACGAAAGCTTTTGAACAAAACTGAGGAGCACATATTTTAGGACTACAAATTCGGCTCATTTTTTTTTTTTTTTGTTTTGGCTTCCATGGATGAAATGTTTAAAGTAACATTAAAAAAATATCTAGGTTCAAGTCTTGTTGAAAGCTACAATTTTATTTCCATTTTTTATAATTTATCATTTGAAGAGCACAGTGACCCCAACTGGAAAGATAAAAAGCAACAATAATGAGAGGAAGTAAAACTAGTAAAGAGTCACCTGTTGTCCACTTCACACCCCTTCTTGGGCTTTTGAACAGGAGTAGAGGTTTATCCCTTGTTTTCTGTTTAGGATTAGATTTTAAAAGTTCCTTCTAAAGTCTTTTTCTTCTTTCACACAGATAGCACCTTTCATTTTAGTGGCATTATCGCTTCATGCTAGTGGCTTTACTGCCTTGCTTGGGGTGATACCGATTAAAAATTTTTTTTAACTATCAGTATTTTAACAGGAATGAATAATTTTCACACTTCTCCTTGCTTTTTGAACAAGAGTGAAGGATTATCCAATGTTTCCTAGGATTTGGTTTCTGCTTTATTCTACTAATGTTACCCTCGTACAGCCCAAGAGCCACTCAAGGTAGAGGGTTAATGTGTGGTGTTGTATGAGCATTAGAAAAGGCAAGAAATGCTGTTCATCAGGTTAACTCTAGACTTGGAGAGAGATTTTCTAGAGAAAACATCCTGCTGGGAGTCTGTTCTCCAAAGCAGCAGTTCTTGCAAATAAGCTGAGTTGAACTTACTCCTTACTAATGGTATACGAAAGGAATGAGGATGATTCATCTGTGTGTCTGTGGCATGGAGGCTCCCAGTTGCAAAGACCTGTTGGAACCAATGAATGTAGCTCATTATAACACATACCATGGAAATATAGAACAGTAAGAGTCTTGCAGTGTTTCATCTGTGAGAAAAGGGTTGTAGACTGCATAGATGCTTTTGAACTCTATCAAGACAGGCAAGTGAAGGCTGGGCAAGTCTGACTCACATATGGCATCAATACTCTAGTTTTGGTCTGATCTGGCTTTTTTTTAAAGCTAGAATATAGTAGAGTAAGTCAGATACTTACTAGAATAGTTCAATGAACTGACCATTTTTCCAGCATCTTAAGCTATATATATGAGTTCCACTTGAGGTCTAAGATAAACTTGCATCCCAATAAACACTCAAGGCAAGAATCCCCTTTTAGAAAACTCTCATCCATCATACTAATTATACTCTTTTTTATTATTGTTGCTTTTTACCCCAAAACTTTTAGGTTATCAAAAAGGACCTTGAATTGCAACAGAGGAAAGATTCTGTGTATCTTCAACAGTGTTCCTCTGCCCTCTTGGCTTATGGTCATATCATGTTGGAACACCAATTCCCATATGATCACCAAAGTTAAGCAACATCAAGACTGGTCACTCTCTAAATGGAGGACCATTTGGTAATATCAGGTTTTGTAAGCTTGAATGTGCAGGTGGTGTAATGGATAATGACTCAGAATTGTTAATCAAGGAGTCAAGTTCCAATTTCATTTGGGTTTGTTATATTCACTTATATGCAAATACCCTTGGCAAAAGTATGACTACTCTCCTTCTCCTCTCAGCTATGGGTTAATTAGTAAGCCTTGTATCACTAAATCATTATTATCTCAAAAATCATTATTATCTCAAAAAATACTTTCAATCTAAAAATATTTTCTGGCTTTAAATAACCTGCAATGGATTGGTAAGCTGTAAAAAATGGAATCAGTCAATCTGAATAATTCATTCTCTGCCTACTTCACCAGTTTGGTTTTTGAGATTGAACAGTAGATGCATTAACAACTGGCTTGAAACCAACTAACTTTTCTAATTTGCTAGTGAATATACTACAGGTCTTAGGATGACTCTGATGTGGTCTCTTTATTACTTGTATTGACCACTGACTGCCTTCCAATTCACTGAAAAAGTGCATTCCTTTTTTCTTGCCTTGTTAACCACTTTAATTTATTAACTAAAATGGTTAGCAAGGTGGGGAAAATAGGAGGCATCATTTTTGGAGCAATACTTATAAGAGGAGAATTATGCTCCCTATATTTGTTGTAGTTCCCATTGAAATAAACAAAAGGTATTATTTTCAGAGTGATAACGCTTAGCCAATAGTGATGATCATATGGAAAAATAGTGTTTAGTGCTATCTGACAGTTTATTGTGCCTCCTTTACATGTTGTGGTTTCTGTGAAAATAAGAGGGAGGCATTACTTTTGGAGCCATTACACATCATTATTTCAAATTAGATGACGATCACTGACACAAAAGATGATTGCTGACGTGCATATATGTAATTTGGATTACAGAATTAACTTTGGTTGCAGAGAGTAATGTTAATTAACACATCTCCTGTAAACTTATCAATTTTCTATATAATTTTTTCTTTCTCTTTCAGAGAAAAAATTCCTCATAGATGAACACGGAATGATCACTACAGATGTATCTACAAATGTGTTTCCTGCTGACAGGATCTATACTCTTAATCTAGAGGTAGGTACATCATTGCATAGTTAACCTGTATTATTAAAAGAATTTTATAATTAATATGGAAGAGGCGGTAAATTTTCATTTCAACACCTGAGCGCTATTATCACTTCAAATTTTTCCAAAATAGTCTTATTTCCATGCAAATGTATATGCTGAACTCAAATCAACAATTAGATATTAAAAGAAACCTACCTTTTTGGATGTTAACGACCAGAAAAACATCGAACTTCTTCTCACTCTTTTTGTCATCCCTTACCGCCTTATTGATAAGTAATTAAGTGTTGAATCCTGTCGGTGGACGTATACAATTTGGGCCTATTTACTCCCTTCACAGTAATTCCTTGTAGTTAATTTTCAAATTAGGGTTAGGTGGGGTTTTTTTCTGGTTATTCTTTTTTTTTAAAGAAGAAAGTTAACTTTCAAATTAGGGTTAGGTGTTTTTTTTTTTTGGTTATTCTTTTTTTTTTAAAAAATAAAGTTAACTTTCAAATTAGAGTTAGGTTTTTTTTCTTTTGTTATTCTTTTATTTGTCAATGTTTACATATATTTGAAAGTTAACTTTATTCTTAAATTAAGTACAAAAAAATCGCTTTACGGAAATGCGTACTAATTTATTAGTTCAGTAGTAAATGACGCTCGGGTGTTAAAATGAAAATTTACCGAAGAGGCTGTAATAAACTGTTGTCAGCATGGGCTGAACACCATTTGTTAATCTTTATACAAAATACAAACATCATTGCATAAACAAAGCAATAAGAAGATGACATTTCAGTTTATGTTTTTATAGAGGTAAGAAAGAAAATACTTATTTTTGTTCTCTTATTGTCCCCTCCCTATCTTTCACTGTCAATAACACCTTGCATCCTTCTTTCTTTCTTTTTATGTGTCATGTCGTTTCAGGATGTAGGTGATCATGGCTCTCTATCTCCCTCTATCCCTTGCAGCTCTCCTTCTCCTCTCTTTCCTTCCCTCTGCTACCTCCCCTAGACCATGTTCTATCAACCACTTGCTTAAGCCCACTGGGTATGTCATGTGTTGTTTTTCCTTTTTTCCCTCTATTCAACCCATGAGTAGAGATTCTCCAGGCCCTCCTTCATCATTATATGTCCCAGGAACTTCAGCTACCTCTTGCTGATGTTAAGTATAAGCCTCCTCTTTGTTTATATCCTCTCTGAGACCTCATCGTTGCTCACACATTTGGTCCATGATATCTTTAGCATCCTTCTAGAGAACCATATCTCCATTGCCTCAAGTCTCTTCTTCATCTTTGAGCAAATCGTCCAACATTCACTGCCGTAAAGAAGTGCAGATGTTACATAACAGCTCAATATTCTTTTCTTTGTTACTAAAGAAATCCTCCTGTCTCACAATACTCTGTCCAGCTTTTAGAATGCATCCTTGGCTATCTTAATATGTCTACGGATCTCAGTGTCACACTTACCGTCCTCTGTCAAAATGCTTCCCAGATATTTAAATTTCCATATCTGCTTGATTCTAGTGTTCCTGGCCTGAAAATCACACTTCAGGCTCATCCTTTTACTTGCATCCTAGTGGTTGTTATTGCCTTGTGTTGGATGAAATGATTAAAAATAATAAAGCATTGTAAAAATACCTCCTTGATAGATATACATATATATCACTTTAATATCATTATCAATACAGCAGGAAAAAGACTAGACACTTCTTAGTGACTCCTCTTACTCATTCAATTCAGACTTTTACTCTGACTGCTACTTGGACTGGCTACTTAACATGTTGTCATTTTACTGGTGCACAAACGTAGTAGTAAACACATGAATGCATGCAAATATTTAAGAAGAATGCTGTGTTACTTGAAAAATATAGAATTTATAATAACTTAATAATTATATATGCTTAAAAGCTGAAGTTATGCAAATTAATGTGATATATGTTTTAAAAGCTGTTTTAATTTAAGTCTTACTCTGTAAATTATAAATAGTTTTTTTTAAGTTGGTATCCACTCAGTTGGGGCATCTTATTATCTTACAGGGTGCGATGAGTAAATTGTCGCCATTTCATATTTTTAATTTTTTAACTGCACAGTATAGTAGGTTCAGTTAGGCAGTGTTTGTGAGGAAAATAGCACCAAGACGCAGTTCTCTCATCAAGAAATTTGGAAACGGCATGCTGTGATGCTTGGCATTCATGCTGGAAGCTATAATACAAACATTTCAGAGTGTTTGGGTGTCAATCTGAGGATAGTGCAGAGGATTTGGAAAGAGTTGGATGAGTCTAATGGTGATTACAAAGGTGCAGCAGCTCACAAAACTCACTCTGATGGTGAGGTCCTCATACTCAACACAGAGGCTTATATCAAATGCCTTGAGGAGGTAGTGCTGCCCTGAGTCAAGAGGGTGGCTGTTGGAAGACCCTATATCTTGCAACAGGACTCTGCACCATGCCACACAAGCAGGAGAATCCAGTCATGACTGTCAGACAATTTCTTCAACCACATCACCCATTAAACCTAACTCCCCAGACTGCAATCCACTTGATTAATATATGTGAGGCACAGTTGAATGAGAGACCAACAAAACTTCTTGTAATACCAAGGATAACTGAAGACAAGGATTATGGCAGCATTCACCAAGGAGACCATCCAGAAGAGTTGTGGGAGTCGTCTGGAGTCCATGGTTTATGCCAATAAATTTACTGTTCAGTATTTCAAGATATTTTTTTTGTAATTTGTTAAAATGTGATGTCAGTTATTTTCAGTCATCAAATCAAAAAAACAAACAACACGCAGACATGAAATTAAAAATATAAAATGGCAACAATTTACCCATTTCAACTTGTGTCTTCTAATAATGTGTCTGCTATAATTTGAGTTTAATTTGTTTATTTTGCCAAATCTCAATTTATATAAATTTAAAATTTTTTTTCACAAACACTGCATAACATTTATTTAACGTGAGATGAGAATAACATGTGATTCCATTTTATTTTAAATTGGTATCCACTCAGTAGGTATATCACAACTTATTAATCATTTTCATAAAATTTTTAATTTATCTGAAACTGATTAGCTAATAGAATATATTTGAATAATGTGCCTGCTATAATTTGAATCTAATTTGTTAATTTTACTAAATCTTAATTTATACAAATTTTGAAAGTTTCTTTTTTTGAGAAACACATGCAAATAAATACAGATAGACAAAACTACCCAATACTTATTTATCAGTTGTATATATTGATTTTGTACACCATGCTTTGATCAAAACTTCACCATACCAGTGTGTACCTTGCTCCCTTCTTCCCCCAGTTGTTGCACAGTAAAGAGCCACAATTTTCCTCTACATCTATCGATTTTGGACAAGCCACAGAACCAAGAACCAGTTGATGTTTCTTTTCCTTTTCTTTAATTGTAATGCACCATGTCATTTTAGGACAACCCCTTGGTCTTTCGCAGGCTTGAGGTATCCAATTTAGAGCAACTTTGGATGGATGACTGTCAGATAATTGCAGGATATAGCCAGTGAATTGTATCCACCTATCTGCCATCATTACACTAAGGGTTCTAAAATTTGCATGTCTTAGCAGTTCATTGTTCCTGTCTCTATCTCTCCAAGATACCTTTAAGGTTTTGCAAAGACATCTTAAATGGAATACATCTAACTGTTGGATAACTTTTATGGTAGAGTTCTAAGTTTCACATGCATATAAGACAGTTGAGATGATAAAACAGTTATATAATTTGAGCTTCACTCTGAGAATAATCTTATTTGAAAACCAAACAGTATGGAGTCATTTAAAGACCCCATTAGATTTTCCAACATGATTTTTAACTTCTTTATGTCACCAAAATTTAATTGAATGTTTTCAAGGTAAGTAAAGTTATCAACTTCCTCAATGTAGTGTTCTTCTAACTTAAGCATTTCACCCCAAGCAAGGCGGGAAGCCACTAGGACACAAGGGGTTACAGAAAATTTAGAGCAAGATCAGATAGGAGTGATAGAAGAAAGGATGAGGATAGTGGATAGATCAAGGCAACTGGAGATGTCGATTGACATTACACTTGAATAGCTGGAGATTATAGCTCACAGGGAAACAGGAATAGGGAAGGGAGTTCCACAGGTGAGAGGTGCGAAACATGAAGCTATTGGAGTAGAAGAGACGGCTACATTTAGGAGTTTCGACAGCGAAGGGGTGAGAGCAGGATGCCAGCCTCACAAGGCGCTGGAACTCATGACATCTGGGAACCAGCGAATGCAGCTCCTTGGAGCAATTTCCATGAAAGTATTTGTAGAACAGACAGAGGGAGGCAACGGCCTGTCTGTGAGAAAGTGACTGTAGACGAGATGCCAGAGAAGGGCCAACTACATTGCATATTCGCCTCTGGAGCCTATCAAGAACCCCGAGGCAAACAGAAGGAGCACCAGACCATATATGGCAGCAATACTCCATGCAAGGGCGAATTGTTGATTTGTAGATCTGGAGGATCAACTCTGGGGAGAAAAACTTCCTGGCGCGGCTCAGGGAGCCAACTTTCCTTGCGGTGGACGAGGCAATTGACTCAATGTGTTTATCTCAGGTCAGCAGTCAACGTGAGACCGAGAAGCCGCAGAGAGTTGCTCTCAAGAAGATGAGCATCAGACATTCTAATGGAGGAAAGGGAAGGCTCTTTATGGTGATTAATAGAGAGCAGTTTTGTCTTAGAAGCGTTAAAGTTGATCAGCCAATTCATGCCCCAGTTCACAATCGATTGGAGGTCCTTTTCGAGACGCATGGCCAGGTGAGTTTTGTAAGCGAAACTAGATTTGTTTTTGAGGCAGGAATAAATTGTGGTATCACCCGCGTAGATGCCAACTTGGGAAGTCATGGCATCAGGAGGGTCATTTATGTAGATAAGGAATAGAGTGGGGCCTAGGATGGAGCCTTGAGAAACACCTGCGTTTGTGGGTTAGAAACTGGATGAGAATCCGTTGAGAATGACCTTCAATTCACGGTTTGACAGGAATGATTGTATTAGGTTATATAAT